GCCTGGCCCACAGCAGCCTCCCCAGGGGGGTCCGGAGGGAAGGTGGAGAGAGCAGCAAGTGTCTGGATGCACAATCCCAGGCATGGGGTCAAGGGGTGAGGTCACTTCCACTCTGTACCTGGCATTGCATTTTTCCTGTGACCCCCTGCCTCCTGACTGATAAGTAACCTAGGTGCACCACAAGCTCCTGGTGCACAAGGTGGGTGCCCATGTGTGTCCCACCCCTGGCATCCTCAGCAAGCAAAAGGCACAAAGGCAGTGGTCTGAAGAGCTGTGGTGACAGGAGGGGTTCATAGCAGGAGCCTGGCCTCTGGGTACAATGTCCTCTGCTCTCCTCCTCCTGCCAGGACTTCCGGGTTGGTCTTCAGAGTCCCTTGGTAGTGGCCGAGGAAGCAAAGGGACCCAACCTGCCCGGCCATCAGTGAGTACAGCAGAGCCCTGGGGGACAGGGCAGCAGGAGATGCAGCGTCCCTGTGCTCATGCAGGTGGCTGTCCCTAGGCCCCACGGCTCCTCAGTGCAGGAGGCAGAGGATGAGGATGACGAGGAGGACTATGTGCCTGAGTGGCACCAGGATGAGTTTGAGGAGCTGGATAACGACAGCTTCTCCTACGACGAGGAGTCTGAGAACCTGGACCGGGAGACTTTCTTCTTTGGTGATGAAGAGGATGAGGATGACGCCTCTGACTGAGGGCAGACTCAGGAAACACCTGGAGCCCCCAGAGCACAAGACCGGGGTGCGGGGCGGGGGCTCTCACCCACTGGGGCGTGGTATCCCAGCACCACAGTTCCTTTGTTTATGGAATAAACTGGTTTTCCATGTACTTCTGTGGAGCAGCTGGACAGCTCCCCAGACCCTCCCAGAGCAATCCCCACTTGCTTTCCTGTCCTGTCTCCCCTCCTGGGGGCGGGGCCTTCACACTGAGCTACAACCCCAGTCCCTAAGTTGCCTAGACTGGGTACCAGTTTGTGGTCCTCCTGCCTCAGTCTCCCACAGTGCTGGGATGACAAGTGTACGCCACCACTCCTAACACCCCTCTGTCCCTAAGGAAGGCCCAGCTGACACAGGGAAGTGAAGGTCTGAATATTGCCAGGGTTGGTGCAGGCCTGGCTGAGTTTCTGAGGACACCAGCCTCTACAGGTAGCCCTCCTGCAACCCCTGAAGTGTCCCAAGGGGCTTGAGGACATGGAGAGGTGCCCAACAGACTTTCAGGGAGGCTCCCTACACCTTAAAGTGAAGTGGGAAGCTGGATGTAGTGGCTCACACCTGTAATCCCAGCTACTTGGGAGACTGAGGCAGGAAGATTGGGAGTTTGAGGTCAGCCTGGGCAATTCAGTGGAATCTAGTCTCAAAAGAGAGAAAGTAAAGTAGGATGGGAAAAGGACATTACTGAGGACCTGCCCCACCCCACCATGGTACAGAGATACAGTTAGAATTCTAAATGAATCTTTTAATTTGCTCCTGAGGGTAAGAGGCAGGTAGGGAAGGATTCAAGGCAGTTAGTCAGGCCCCTGGTCACTGACTGCAGCCCCCTGCTCGGAGTCACCAGCCTCAAAGTATTGGTCCAGCAGCGCCTCCAACTCTCCCTCGTCATAGTCCCAAACCTGGAACCGTGAGCTATCCTGGGCTCCCCGGATCATGGCAGAAAGCACTGGGGAGGGTGGACAGTGACAGGGACATGAGGCTGCCCCCCTTCCTGCTCCTTGCTCCCGCCCTGTGCCCTGGGGACCACCAAAGGCCAAGTGCTCACCTCGGCCAGACTGTGGGCGGAAGAGGCACAGCACTGGCTTGTGGAGGGCCACGGCCCGGCCCAGCTCATAGCCGACCCCCAGTGAAGGCTGTGTCACCTCAGCTACCACCACTGGGGAGAAAAGAAGCTGAGGCCCAGCCCTGGGCCTTTGAACAAGCAGGGAAAGGTGACCACAGGTGGCCTGGTGAGGAGGACACCGTGGGGTGCCTAGGGCTATCCTAGGACCTATGGTCACCACGGTGCAGTAGGAAGAGCAAGGGCCACTCACCGTCTGCCTGCTGTATCCAGGCCATGTCGCGATCATGGATGAGTCTGTCCTGGATGAGTCTGGCGGACCCAGGCAGCTCCTCCCCTGCAGTTGAGGAACAGCTGGTCAGGGAGCTCCCCACTGGGAATCTGAGACAGTGCTATGCTCCTCCACTCCAAGGAGTCCAACAGGAGTGATGTGGGGCAGCCACAGGAAAAGCACACTCAGCAGTGCTGGGGTGATTAGGGCAGCTGGGTGGGTCAGCCCCCAGGAAGGAGGGTGGGGAAGGGGTCTGCAGGCAGGGACAAATGTGCCCCTTGTGTGTTTGGAGGATCGCCAAGCCCAGGCACCGGGAGGGTTAACCAGCTTCAGTCAGCGGCTTTGCTGTTGGTACTGGACGCATAGAATGCTTTGGGGGGTACTTGCTATGTAGTACAGGCTGGCCTCCAATTTGCCGAGTTCCTCCTGCCTCAGAGTCCAGGGTGCTGGGCTTTCAGGCTATAGACTGAATCTTAAATGAGCTTCCAGGACCACCAGGCAGGGTACACTGTGAAACTAGTGATCCCTAAGCTTCAGGGTCCTTACTGCACAAGCCCTTTCCAACCTATTAATTTTGTCTTTTTAAAGAAGTTCCCAAACTGGGTATGGTGACGCCTGCCCGGAATCACAGCACTCTGCAGGAAGATGGCAAGTTTGAGCCCAGCCCAGGCAACTTAGCAAGACCCTGTCACAAAATAAAAAATGGTTGGGAGGTGGTTTGGTGAGAGGAACCTGAGTTCAATCGTCAGTACCTTACAACAAAAAACACCCTCTGCCGACCACACCAGATTCCTCAGCGTGGGGTAGGAGCAGCGAGGCGGGGACCCGCCCGTCCCCCTCCACCTCCCCCAGCCCACGTCGCCCATCA